GTTTCTTCTTTCCTGTGGTGTTATACGAAAGTATTTTTATCGTTTCAAACATTTTTTGACGTTATTGTAAGGATAAATTTATGTAATATCATGATTGCTATAGTGACAAATATTATGATTTTTAGTTTTTATCATGGGTGATAATAAAAAACACGAAAATAGAGCAACAAGAAAAAGCATTTTCACTTGAAACTAAAATGCAAGTGATTAGAAGATTAGATACTGGTGAACGTCAATCTCAAATTGGTGCTGCATTGAATTTGCCAACTTCAACACAATAAGAACCATTCCTAAGAATAAAGAAAAAATACTGTCATCGGCAACTGCCAATACGACAAGTTCTGCAACTAAAATTACCCGTTCTAGAAATAATAAAATAGAGGAAATGGGAAACGACTTTCTGTATGGACAGACGACGAAATTGAACGCAATATGCCATTAAACCAAGAATTTTATTTATTTTTATATGTATATCCGTTTATTGTATTTCTATATTTGTAAGGAATAAATTTTTGTTTTATTGTTACAAAAAGCATAATTAATAAATTTAATGGTAAAATACCTGACTAATTTTCTACCTATTTTTATCTAACAATATTATTCACATGATGAGATAACCTCGTTTAACGCTGTTTCATATTACGCTCAACTTCAGTGCTTCTCAAACTTTCAACACTGGCACCCCCCTTTTCAATCGCAATTTTTATCGCGCCCCCTATACATTAATAATGTACTGATTGCAATAATAATGCACTTTGACGTTAAAGCAACAATCTTTATTATAAACCTTACAAATTCATGACATAAGTATTAAATTCTGTATACGTTACTTTTAAGCAAAAATAAATAAATAAATAAGTAATAGGATAATTATTATGTTATTTTTCCTTTCTCTAATTTTTAAATTGGAACATATTGCAAAATGCGGTGGTTGCTTATACAGATATCAGCTAAATATAGAAAAAGAACCCAGAGGATCAATTTATAATCATAAGCATTCCTTTGAAAAACTTTGCTCTGTAAGACAAGCCCATGGAAGTCGCTAATACTTATTAAACTTGTTCTTAATTTAGTATTAATTAATTAATTATAAAATACTCTGTGCAGCACTAATACATTAAAGTTTACCGACTGAAGTATCCGCTCTTTGTACGAGTTCATTTATAAGAAAATAAAATATTATTGATATAATCCCTGAATTGTAAGGAGAGTAATGCCAAGTGCGCGACAATGTTTACAAAAATGTAAAATGATTTTTTTTAAATGATTGCTAAATTATAATTAGTTTTAAACGAACTGTAATTTTAAGCCTTACAGAATTAGCATTTAGAATTGATGTTGAGTAATGAACAATAAAAAAAATTCTGATGAAGAATAATTGTATTATTTTTAATATTTTTAAAGCGAAAAGACTTCAACATGTTTTAACCCTGGAGCAGGCGCGCACTCGATACTAATGTTCGAGCGGGGTTATTAAGTCAACCCAATCCTTTTTTTATAATTATTTTTATAGTACACAATAAAAATCGTAATTCCAGTGAATAATTTAATTAAGAGAAAATATACTCACCCCTACCTTCAAGAACACAGAAAATATTTCGGAAAAAAAGTTATCACATTGGGAACTCAGTCAAAACAAGTACCTTAAGATTGCAAAAAAACGTTTGTCACTCCCAAAAAAGAGGGAGATATGTGACATATATTTTAGGTCACGATAAGACTGTCAAACAGGAGGATAGTGTCAGGGCCATTGGTAACAATTAAACAGTTTTGCCAGAATTACCGATTTCGTGCACTCTGTGCTCGGTGTGACCACTTCCGGATTAAAAGTGTATTTATTACAATATGGATGTTCTAAAAAACTATGTAAAACTTTTTCATTATGATTTATATGTTTGGGAATACTCATAAAAATAAATCTTGGCCTAGTAATCCTTCAAAGTGCTCTCTGTGCTTTTCCAAAAATTATAAAAATATTTTACAATGAAAAAAGCGCAGCAGAAATAGTTTATTTACAACTTCCCTAAATGAAAAAACAAATACATAAGAGCAGGGACGTAACTAACCGTACAAGTAAGTTCGAAGGTCAAACCGCAGCAAATACATTCTGCTGCCTATAGCTGATGGCAATAATATATAACAGTGATAAATTTTTTATTTTCCTAATTTTTTTTTGTTTATAGGTCTGGGTTTAGTCTTTTTTCTCTGAAAGAGTAGCATTTTTGGTTTGAAAAGAAAACGTAATAAAAAAATCTCTCATCATGGGATTACAGCAAATCAAATAAAATGTTTTTGAATTGGTTATAGTATCAAAAATAGCTAAAAAAATGAGGTTTTGAAGTAGAAGCTTTTATTTTTGATGACGTAATATCGCAGATAATATATATAAATTATATCAGTGTAAGTGTGTATTTTTTTATTATGTCAGAAAGTATTTTGTTTTACTTCATTCCAGTAAATAAAATTTTTTTAATCTTTTATTTTCGATATGCTCGCGTCC